TTCTTTTGTTTTCGAACAGATTTCTACCTGTTCGGACCCAGGCCGACGTTGAGGCCGGGTACGTCCGCACAGGACCGGTTCGAAGCCAGGTACCAGGAAACTGAATCCTGGACAGGGCCTGGACATCCGGTAGGGACCCAGGCAGGCCGTTTTAGGCCAAGGACTGAACCAGTTTCAAAGCCTGCGATCTGGACCGTGGATCGGAGTTTCGATCTGCACGGTCCAGAACGCAGGCCGTGGGTTTTCAGTCCTGGCCCAGCACTATTTAAGCTGGGCCGTTGCCCAGTTCGTGGACAGAAGGTACCAGGAGAAATCCAGCGTTATGCTGGTTCAGGAACTTCGCTGCTGCGCTATTTTGGAGACTCCCTGCTGCGCTATTTCGAGACTGCAGCTGCGCTCCTCATCGGCCATGAGGCACAGCGCTGGAGGAGTCCAGCGCCGAGGAGGGTAGTGGAGTTAGAGAGAGAGAGAGAGAGAGAGAGAGAGAGAGAGAGAGAGAAGAGGACTTACCTGCCCAGTGCCATAGCTGGCTCCGCGGTACCTGCAAGTTCAGCCATCGCCAGGTAAGTGCAGAAAGCGCCTAGCTTTCTTCTTCTTCTTCTTCTTCTTCTTCTTCTTCTTCTTCTTCTTCTTCTCCTCTCCTCTTCTCCTCCTACTCCTCTGAAGTTCTTCTTCTTCTTCTTCTTCTTCTTCTTCTTCTTCTTTATCAGAGTAGAGATAGAGGTAACTGCAGACATTGTTTGGACACGGCCTTCTGCCTTATTGGACACGATATTCAGATCGGACTTACACTCTACATTGGGATTGAACTGTGTGCGACATTCGGAGATCAGACTTGGGTTGGACTTGGCTACCTCTATGTCCCTCCCCCTTCTCTCTCACATGTCTATGGATCTCTCCCCATGTGTGTGAGCGGAAGGGCAATCTTTCTGGTGTCTTGCCCTTCCGAAGTTTCTCCCTTTCATGTTGTTGTCCACGTGTCCTTTTGATACTGGATCTTCCGCTGCGCTGCTTCCCAGCCTATGATGATGATGATACGAATGTGTTGTTATTGATTTCCCGTTGTTTCACTGTTTGCGTCGCGCACATTGACACCTTGTGAATGTTGCACCTATGCTGCTGGTTGTTGCCACTTTCGTCATTGCTGGATCGTAGGCTTTCAGTGCATTTCACTTTCTGATATGCTACACCAGAGGAGAGAGAAAGAAGAAGAAGAAGAAGAAGAAGAAGAAGAAGTACACCAGCAAGACAAATGACAATTCCCCCCTTCTCTCTCCACCTTCCTCCTCCTCCTTCACTTCGCCAATCTTATTCTTCTCTCAATAATAATAATAACAATGAATGGATGAACCAGAATCAATATCCGAAGTTCCCTCTTACTGCCGACTCAACTCAACAATCAACAACAACAACAACCAGTCCACCATAGCTATGGCTTCCCTCCTTCAGCCTCCTCTCTCATTTACAGGCTATGGCGGACTACTCCAAGCAGCTAGGGTGCTGCACTGATGTCCAAAGGACAACCCAAGCAGCTATGGTGCTGCGCTGATGTCCAAAGGACAACGCAGAGCACCTATGCCGCTGCTGACTTGGTCCGCTATGCCTGACTCTGCCTCGAGCTTCCCTGGTGCCGCCATACCCCAACTGGGGCCTTCCAGATGCAGCGTCCAACAGGGTGATGAAGATGGTGTCTTCCATAGCCAGGTAAGTGCCCCGCCACTCTCCTACCATGCCCCCTTCTTCCTCCTCCTCAAGCTGGACTGCTCGCCATAGCCAGGCTGAGCTCCAGCGGCCTTCACCTCCAAGCAGCGCTGCACCAGCCCAGCGCTGCGCTCCAGCAGCATGTCGCCAATCCTTGCACACCGCAAATGAGGAAGAGCTCTTTGCTCTTCCTGGAGATATAGCGGCCTACCGGCCTCCTGGGCGGTGACTTCCTAGGCCGAGCGGCCTCCCAGCAACCGGTACCTCCTCCCTTTCGGAGGGAAACATCATTGGAGGCTCTGCTATCCTCCCTACAGGCCCTAGACCCGGGCTACTTGGGACTGGTACCGGCCTACCGCTATCCTACCGCTACTGGGCCTCTAAAAATGCCAACTTTTTGTCTTCTTCTGCTCCGCCTCCAGTACCCGACACCCCTACGACTACTTGAGTGGTACCGGCCTACCTGCTACTTGAGTGTTTTTCCCCGCTGTTCTAAGTGTTGCGGGCCTACCCCCGCTACTTGAGTGTTTTCCCCCTGCAACCCTCAAAGTCATGGCCACAGGTAAGTACCGGCCCTGCGGGGCCCTTCAACCAACAAGTACCCTTGTGGGTCATACACACACTCAACCGACAAGCACTCAGACAGGCATGCAAACCAGCAGGCACGCACACACACAGACATGGAGATCACAGCAGAATGCGGGAATTTCAGCAAGGCAAACATTCCAGCAGCAAATCCCGGAAATCAGCAGTGTTCTCAGTCTGTGTTTTTGGCGGGTCATTACAAATAGTTTTTTTATTAATTTATTTCGGAAATTTCAAAATCCGATTTTAATTAATTCCCCCATAATTTTTTTAGTTAAAAATGCATTAAAAATTCAATTTAATACCCAAAAAAACGGCAAAATTCACACATCTTCTCTTCCATGACCCGCCGCACAAGACTTCTCCGCGCGTGGCCACCTGGGCCGCTGAGAACGCCACTGCAGCCTTCGCCTCCACCGCTATTTCCTCTTCCTCGCCCCCGGCCTCTCCCCCCACAATGGCGGACGGTTCCTCAACCATCAACATGAGCGCCATTGACACTACATCTGTAGACAGCCTGCTTCGTGACTTCACGAGAGAACAACCCGCACCTGAAGCCAACCCCACCAACATCTCCCTACTCACCATGATGCAAAATATGCAAGACACCATCCGTGCCCTCCAATCCTCCTTCGCCACCTCCATCTTCAGCCTCTCCAGCCGGATAGATAACATGGCACAACATCAACCCCTTCCATCCAAGTGGTCACTACCACGATTTCCATGTCGGGTTCTAGTCTGCCCTCCTTCCTCCTCTCCCCACTCCCACTCCCACCTCCACTTCCACCTCCGGTCCATCCGCCAACCCCACCTCCACCGCTTCCATCTCCACTTCCACCGCCGGTCCATCCGCCACCCTAGCCTCTACCACCCCCCATCCCAACGGCCACCACTAGCGTGTCCCACCCACCTCCTCTCTCTTCCACCCATCTCATTGCCCAATTGCCGCACCCACACCTCTCCTCTCACAAGCCATCTTTACCTCATCCATCGTCACCTCCCTCTGGATGCCCACCTACTCCCAGGTCACCGCCATGTCACATCCCGCTCTCCCCCAACATCCCTCGAACGCCCTCCTCCCAACAAACCCCCAACATGACTTCACCCGCCTCGTTGATGCCTCACCCACCCTCGACTTCAACGCACTCACTACCCACATCCCTAGTTATGGCAGAATCCCTCGCACATTCTTGGCCCACAACATTCCAACCTTTTCCGGTAACCCCAATGAGGATGTATCTCTCTTTCCCAGCCAACTGCAACAAGATGTCTATCTCCACACCGTCCCCGTTATCCACTGGCTCCCCATAGTCGGTACACGACTCCTCGCCAACGTTGCCCGCTGGTGGCTCACCGAAGTCGCCAACCGCCAACTCAGTGGCCAGCCGTTGCACTCCTTCCTCGAGTGGGCTACGCTGATCACAGCCACCTTCCGCCCACAAGACCGTCGATGATTACATCGACCAATTCTGCTGCCTTTGCCAAAATGGCCCCACCGACCACTACATCCAATATGTCCGCTCACAACGACAGCATATTCCCGTCCACCCGATCGTCGACGACACTTTCATCTTCTGCCCCAAGCGGGTCTCCAACCGCGAAATCACCGACGTACTTGTCCATGAGGCCACCACAACCTTATCCGATCTTCTCTCCCGCATTCTCCAAATCGATAGTCTCCTTTCAACTCACAAGGCCGCCATCTCCTCCATCCCTTCCCGAACACGTTTCTTCCACAACATTGCTACCAACGACACCCTCACCACCACGATGTCGGATGAGTTCTCCACACCCGACCCCGACATCGAGTCCACTTCTACCGACCCCCCATCTTTTACCCAGGAAGAAGTCAACACCATCCATCTCCTCAGGATGGAGCTCGAGAAACACCAGGAACGTGCCTACCTCCAAACCAACAATGGCTGTTTCCGGTGTCGTTAGCTTGCCCACCAGCAAACCAGTTGCCCCGATGCTAGCCAGTTCACTCGACAGGCTCCCCGCTCCACAGGACCTCGGCCCGTTGTATCCTCCACCCCACCATCCGCGACATTGGGACCCTCCCACACATGAACACTGTCCCCTTGCCTCTCGTGACCCCGCCTCGGCATTGACAACTAGTCAACCGACCCCTCTATTGGCATCGACGATCCGTCTGCCATCCCCACCTCCGACGAGGTCTCTCACCCTGTCGGTCGAGCTCATCACTGCCACGTGTTCCTCTGCCCTTCTCCCTAATCCCTCTCACATCACATTCTCCGATGTTGTTGAGGAACAAGCGCGGCACGACCGACTTGTTAGACTAGGCATCGAACAACATCGCCTCAACAACATGATCTTTGCCGCTTGTGCCGGAAGCGCCCAGTTCCAACTCAAGTTCATATCCATCTACCTTTGCGCATCGACAGTGCAGTTCCCGAGGTCATCGTGACTGTCGGCTCCCTCCGCAGTCAGATCTCCTTCGACGTCATACACCTCATGTGCGACGCCGTCCAAGGATCGATCTGGATTGATCGCTACATGCCCTACTCTTTCTACCCCTCTTTCGTCTACCTCTCTTCTACTTCGAACTCTACCCTTGACATCCCTGACATTCTTCCCCCTACCACCCCTCCACATGTCTCGCCAACACCCTGACTCTGCCTACTATTGCCTCGTCATCGACCACGAGCGTCCTGAGGACTTGATTCCAACGGACAACCCGATCAAGCCCCCAAAAATTCAAGGACCCCTTCCCCGAGTCCTTGCCTGCCGGCTTGCCACCCAATCTCAATGTATCTCACACCATCGATCTCGAACCCGGCCATTCCCCTCCTTGCTGCCCTCCGTACCAACTCTTTGTCCCCGAGGCCGAAGAGATGTAAGCGCCAACTCAATAAACTCCCTGAAAAAGGATTCATTAAGCCAAGCTCATCCCCCTTCGGAACCAGCTGCCTCTTCGTTGAAAAGGGCGACACCTCGGAGCTCCGCATCTGGACAGACTACCGCGCCTTGAACTGGATCACAATCAAGAATAAGTATCCACTCCCCCGGATATCTGAACTTCTTGATCTCCTCCGCCGGAGCCAAATACTTCACTAAGATCGACTTCCGCAGTGGCTTCCACCAGATCCGTATTCGCGAGGAAGATACCCATAAGACCGCCTTTGCTCTCGCTCCGAGCATTACGAGTTCCTAGTGATGCCTTTCGGCCTCGCAAATGCCCCAGCGACCTTCAAGTCCGCCATGAGCCGTATCTTTCGCAATCTCCGCGAAGTTTGTGTTGTGATTTACCTCGACGACATCCTTGTCTTCAGTCCCACCTTCGAGTCCCACCTTTGAGTTCCACCTTCGAGTCCCACCTTCGAGTCCCACCTTCGAGTCCCACCTTCGAGTCCCACCTTCAGCACATCGAGAAGGTACTTTTCATCCTCCGCGAGCAAAAGTTTACGCTAAGCTTAGCAAATGCAGTTTTGCCACCTCGAGCGTGGACTGGCTATATTGTCTCTGCTGACGGTATCCACATGGACCCCTCGAAGGTCGCCGCTCTCGTCCAGTTCCCACCTCCCACCACCTTGCTCCAAATCTGATCATTCATTGGACTCGCTAACTACTACCGCCCCTTCATCCAAAACTTCTCTGACACCGCCTATCCACTCCATGAGCTCACCCGCGCCATCGAGTCCTTCACATGGACCGAACGCCGCCAAACCGCCTTCAACAAACTCAAACACCTCATCACTACTGTCCCTGTTCTCAAGATCGCAGACCCTTCTCGCCACTTCTACGTTACCACCGACGCTTTGGACTTTGCCCTTGGCGTTGTTCTCTCCCAACATTTCCCTCGCGACCCCCGTACTATCAAAGATTCCCCCATGCGATCCGAAGCACCTCCCAACGAGTACCTATTGCATTCGTGAGTAAGAAGCTCATCGTTGCTGAGATGAACCATCCCTCCAATGAGAAGGAACTCCTCGCCGTCATCTATGCCCTTAAAGTCTTGCGCCCGTACCTCGATGGCCAATACTTCACAATTCTCACTAACAACACCGTCGTCTCCAATATCCTCACCAAAAAGGATATCACCCCTCGTCAGGCCCGCTAGCTGGACTTTCTCGCCCAGTTTACCTTCACCATCTGCCATACTCCCGATAAGACCATTTGTGTTGTCGATGCCCTCTCTCGCCGACCCGGTCACAAGCCCCCTGAGAAAGTCTTCGCTGCCAATATGCATGTCAACCTTCCCCAATCTCTCCAACATCGCTTCATCCATGGCTACGTCTCCTGCCCCGACTTCGCCCCTACCTACACCAAACTCTGCGACCTTGACACTGCCCCTAACTATTCCCTCATCGACCATCTCTTCTACATCGACACCAAAGGAACCCGCCGCCTTTGCATCCCTTTCGTTCGTGGTCTCCGTACCCAATTCTTGGTTGAACACCATGACGCCAAGACTGCCGGACACCTCGGTTTCCAGAAAACCTTCGACAACATCTCCCGTTACCTCTACTGGTCGTCGCTCCTTGCCGACGTCAAAGCATACATCCGTTCTTGCCCTACTTGCCAAGCCGTCAACCCCTCCAACCAAGCTATAAGGCTGGCAAACTCCAGTCTCTCCCCATACCCACCCACCGCTGGCAATTTGTCCCCATGGACTTCGTCTGTGGTCTCCCCATGATCGACCATGGTCACGGTTGCATGTATGTCGTTGTCCGCCGCCTTACCATGCGTGCCCATTTCATCCCTTGCACCACCACCTGCCAAGCCAAGGACGTCGCCAAACTCTTCTTCAACCACGTCACTCGTTACCACATTCTACCCAAAAACATCATCAGCGATTGTGACTCCCGATTCCTTTCACAGTTTGTGACTCCCGATTCCTCTCACAGTTTTGGAAAATCCTCTTCACGGAATACGGGACCACCCTCAAGTACAGCACCGCCTTCCACCCCCAGACTAAATGCCAAACAGAGAAGATGAACGATACTCTCCAACGCATCCTCCGGAAGTATTGTCATCCCCATCAGCTGTCGAGATCGCCTACAACAACGTTGTTTGGCCCTCCACTGGCATGTCTCCTTTCTACCTCGACCTTGGCTACCATCCTCGCTTGCCCTATGACTTCTTGCTCCCCTCGCAGCTCAACCCATCTACTCCCTGCTCCTCTCTCAATGAATGGGTTGCCACAATGAACAGCCTCCTAAAAGAAGCCACCGAATCTATTCAACGAACTCAGGAACAACAAGCCAAGCAAACGAACAAACATCGCCATGACGTCACTTTCCATGTTGGGCATAAAGTCTGGCTGTCCACCAAACGCTTTGATCCCGAACAAGGCTTGTCCAAGAAACTCTCGAACAAGTGGCTCGTTCCATTCCCCATCATCGAAAAAACATCCGTTATAAATTACAAGCTCCAACTCCCTCCTGACATGAATCGCGTCCATCCTGTCTTCCATGTAGAATACTTGAAAGAATTCCTCGAATCACCTCCTTAGTTCTGTGATCACCCTGATCCTCGTCCACCACCTATCACCGGTCTAAATTCTTTGTGGAGTCAATCATCCGTTGTAGAACAACTTAAGTATCCAACCACCCCGAGCCTATCACAAAATACAAAGTATAGATGAAGAATCAACATGGGAACCCCTTGCAAATCTAAAGAACACCATGAAACTCGTTCGTGCCTATGATCGTACCCACCCTATTTGTGTTATAGCTATCTACTTCCCATTTGGCCTCTACCACACTCTCTGTCTCTCTTGACCAAATGGTTGTGGACCTGCGTGACGCCGACGATAAAGGATCTAATGGCAAGCACACGAGGATGATGGCGTGCTGCCTCGTGATCATGAAGATAATGCAGCTGGTTTGTCCACCATGCTGTTTCCTTGGCCAGCATCTGGACTTCCTTGGCCAGCATCTGGACTCGCGGACTTACTGGAGCAGCGACATGTGATCTGGACCTTCGCATCAGTTTGCGTAGGTCCAACACTTGGACTTTGGACTTTGGACATGAACCGGACGCATTCCAACACTTGGACTTTGGACACTTGTACTCCTACTTCGCTTTTCCGCAGCTTAGACATTCGACAACTATCTGTTGCAACCGCTGAAGACCGGTTCTCTCACCTATCCTGGATCTGATCAACACCTCCGAAGACCTTCCTCAAGACATTTTCATATTTTGACGCTTAATTACAAACCTGAGATTTTGTTTTCCCAGATTCCTCAAACACCCCAACCCTTGAGCATTGAACAAACTATTTTTATTTTTATTTTTCTAAAACCTGCCAACCTATGACCTTGTAGAACATCAATAGGACTGCCCTGTTACTTATAGAACCTCAATAGGATCACCCTGTTACTTGAACATTGCTACCCTCAACCTTGTAGAACTTCAATAGGATTACCCTGCTACCTAAACATTGCTACCCTCACCCTTGTAGAACCTCAATAGGATTACCTTGTTACCTAAACTTTGCTACCCTCACCCTTGTAGAACCTCAATAGGATTACCTTGTTACTTTAGCATTGATTCCCTCATCCCCGTAGAACATCAATAGTATTGCCCTGTTACCTGTTACTTCATCCTTGTAGCACCTCAACTACCCTGTTACCTGAACATTGACACCTTTACACTTGTAGAACATCAGAAAGATTACCCTGTTACTTGCATTACTCCCCCTTTTCTTTTCTGACCAGTGATCAGCCCCGTCCCGTCCTTCGCAGTTGTTCATCAGGTCTTTGGCAGTCGGGACGTTGCCTTCCAGAGGGAGGGGATAGTGTTATGGACTCGGCCAGGGCTCGATCCCTGGTCCGCGGGTTACCACCCACGAGGCTGCTATTTCATTTTTGGGTCTCTGTTCTTTGGCCCTTGACTGTTGGCGCCCTCTGTAGTTGGCGCCCATTCTTTAATTCCTCTTTTGGCACTTTCAAATTTAGATACTTGGCGCCATCCCGCATTCTGGCGCCCAACTCAGATCTTTGAACTTTAGTTCAGCCCTGAGGCAATTTGCATTTTTGCCCTCGGGACTGAACTTGAGTCTGATACTTAAAACCGGACTCAAGCCCAGTCCGGGCAACCAATTTTCAGCCTCATTACTTGTGTTCAGTGTGACTATGCGTCGACATTGTGTTCAGGAATCCAAGACTGCGACTTCGCGACTTTGCCACTTTGTGTCTACGTCTGTCGAGTCGTGTTGAGTCTGCGTCGAGTTGAGTGAACGTGTGTGTGCGCTTTCACTCTCCCTCCCTCTCCCAGTCTTGCTGCCCTGTCTCGAACTTGTTACACCGCTGCATTGTGTTGCAGCCCAAACTCGACTACTCTAATACAACGCTTACTGCTGAAAGACTACTCCTTACCGCAATGCTACTGCACCCAGCACGTCGACTACTGAAGACTATTGATGCTACCTCCAAACTACCTACCTAGAATGAGGTTGGCCCAGCTATATATAATGTCGGGCCTAGTGTCCTAGGGCGAGAGGAAATAGTTTGGCGAAAGGAGAACTGGTCTGGCGCCAAGAGGAGGGATCTGTTTTGGCGCCAAAAGTAGGAATGTGGCGAAAATAAGAAAAGTTATGGTGCCCAAAAGTAGGAGTCTGACGAAAAGTTGCCAAAAGTAAGAACCTTGCGAAAATACAAAAAGGTCTGGCGCCCAAAAGCAGGAGTCTGGCGAAAGATGCCAAAAGTAGGAACCTGACGAAAAAATGACAAAACTAAATAGTGGCCTACTAGTTCCGACGGGGTCTAACAAAGTCGAAATGACACAGACATTAAACCCTACGAAAACCCCTAACTCTATTGTCGAGCCCTGTATTGGGCCAGGAATAGATTGACAGAGTGACGAGCGGCAAAGAGCTGCAAGGAATTAGTAAAGACGGTCCTCCTCAAAGAAGGAGGGCCGTTGGGAAAATAAGACTCTTGGGCTAAGCGGCGCAGGTAGAAGAGGGCTGACGACGCCAAGGAAAATATCGTCGTAACGTCGGTACACGAGAGCGTAGCATGCGGTCGTAAAGGCCATCTGAATTCGGCATGAGAGAAACCTATGGATCATGGACCTAGCATGGGAGCGCGAAGGAAAGGACTAGCGGGTGCCACCCGAGCAAGTGTCGGGCCTCGGGGAACCTGAAAAATGAGTGGCCTTGAGGGTTAGGGTGAAGAGGGTTAAAAGAAGGGGAAGAGAGGCTCAGTTCCGGGGCACCAAACCGTGAAACTAAGAAGAGAACCAAAGGGGATGCGACGGACCACATGGAAGTGTCAAGGTCGGAAGAAAAAGAGCCTTGACAGACATAAGACACTAGAGATGAAGGCCCCAAGTGTGGGGGTCATTTGCGGCAACGAACGGTGACCTCGAGATTAGAGATCTCGCCGCCGAGAAGGCTGACACACTTGGGACACAGGAGGAGGCAGAAAATGGGGCTGTCAAGGAATGGGAAATGCCAAGAAAAATCAGAACACCGTGGGGAAAGGTATGGGGAACCGTATGGGGCTAGGTAAAAATAATGACATTTTGGGAGAAGTACCGGCGGGACTGTTGATGGGACAAGTGTCGACGGGACCATCGGCGGGACAAGTGTCGGGGACCTGAGTTGTCCCAAAGGAAAAGTTATGGAATGCCATGAGGAAGAAATATTTAAGAGCAAGTGGTGTCGTCAAGATTAAGATCTGAACGACCAAGAAAATTAGCATCACTAGTGCACGCATCAGTGGGAGCAAACGGGAAAGCTGGAGAGGAAAAAGGAGGCAAAGAAATAAGGAAAAAGAGTCGGACTGCAATTCGGAATATCTCGGACCAGCCACCCTAGAGAAAATGGAGCCTTGAGAGGCTTCATGAGAAAAAATAGCCTCCGAGAGAAAATCGGAGTAGGAGGGACCACAATTTGGAGCAAACGGCAACAAAATGGGGCTCCCATGGGTGTGGGAGCACCATGACTGCAGTTCAAGAATTAACGGACTGCACCTTGGGCATGGGCTAGGCCAAAACCAAGAGGTAGGGCCTAAAAAAAACCTCAACAGCTAGTTGACACTTAGCATGCTAGAAAAAGAAAGAAAAAGAAAAGAAAAAAGGAAGAAAAAAAAGGGAGAATGAGACAAAGGAGGATGGGAGGGAGTGAGTGAGTTGGTAGTCAGTAGGGATTGGCATAGATAGGGACTGACAAGTCCTACTCAAATTTGGAGGGAAAAGGAAAGGAGAAAAGAAAAGAAAAAGAAAACTGGCACTAACGGTAAAAAATGGTCACTTGGGAGATACATCCGTGACCAGATTCATCCTAGGGTGAATTGGTTACAAAGTATCTTGATTTTCTCCTATTTTTTTTGAGAAAATCAAAGAAAATCAAGACCTCATGCAACCGAGATACAACGGATTACAAAGGGAAGGGAAAACGTGTTTTGGGTGCATTCAAAACCAATATTGAGTCCGGATGCACTTGGAAATGAGCCGCTTCATTTTGTTTCAGTTTGGGGCAGGTTGTGGGGCAATGAGGCTAGGAAAATGGGCATTGCTGCAGTACGGGAAATAGCGGACTGCAGTGGGGTGCCAAGGCCAACGGAAAATGAGCCTTGACATACTGAAGACACTAGAAAGGAGTGTTGCAAGCTTGGAGCAAGTGGAGACGATAACTGGCACCCGCAAGATGAGGATCTTGCGGTTGGGAATAATCAAGGCACTTTAGACACCTGGAAAAGGAGAAATTGAGACTGTTGGGAACTGGGGAGTGCCAAATAAACATGGGACGTCATTTGGAACGATGTCGGGGACTAAATGGGCCCAAATAAAAATAATTGAAATTCTGGACATGCTCCGACGGGACTAAAAAATGGAATTATTGTGGGATGAGTGACGGGGACTTGAGTGTCCCAAGAGAAACTGCGGGCCCCTCATGGAGGATGAACACGCGAAGCAAACGACACCGTCAATATTAAGATTTTGACAGTGCAGAATATTAGCAACCGCTAGTGCAAGAGCCGAGTGAGACCAACGTAGAGGGAGGAAGGGGGCAGGAAGAGAAAAGGAGTGGTGATGGGAGGCCTACCCTGCAGTCCGAGATATCCTGGACTAGCAGGGCATGAGAGAATAGAGCCCCAAGGGGCTCTAGGCAGAAAATAAGCTGCCAAAGAAAAATCGGAGGGGGGGGAGGGGGGGGCAAAATTGAGTGTAACGAAGGCAAAATGGAGCCCCCGTAGGTGTGGGGGCTTCATTATTGTAATATGAGATACAACGGTTAGCTGCTGGATCTAGATCTGGCTCTAGATCAAGATCGATGGCCTATAAAAGAAGTCCACAGCTGCCTGACACTTGTCGCAACAGAAATAAAAGAAAAGGAGAGAAAAAGGGGAGAAAAAGGAGGGAGAATGAGATAAAGAGGGAGAAAAGAGTGGAGGAGAATGTGCCGGTCAGTTGGGACTGGCACAATAGGGACTGGCAGGTCCCTATTGTGACCTCATCACTCCGGATTAGTGGAGGGCAATCCGGAGTGCAGAGATAAGGCCCTTGGGGAATTAATCAATAAATCAAGAACCGAGAATGCCTTGTCGTGAGTTCTGCTCCGATACCAAATTGTCGCATGCCTAATCGGCAACGATCAGAACCAAGAACCGACCTCTCATAGACGATAGGAAAATAGCACAGCGGAAGACTGAAATACCAGGATCTGGCTCAGCAGCGACAATGACAGGACCTGACTGCACTCATCATCACTCTGTGTGAGTGGACTCAGCACTGCAATCATGGACGGGGCGCTGAGTCCAAATCATCCAAGGACGAGGGGGGGAGGAGAGATGCAGGGAAGAGGGAGATAGGGAGGATGAGCCACCATCGCCCGATGAACCCAGTCTCCAATGTATTCCCAATGTCGCTGCTCATACAATGTCCAGTTGCAATGTCACTGAATCCGGCAATGCCCACATGTCACGAAGTCTCAATATCAACTCTCTCTCTCTCTCTCTCTCTCTCTAGGATGAGCCACCATCGCCCGATGAACCCAGTCTCCAATGTATTTCCAATGTCGCTGCTCATACAATGTCCAGTTGCAATGTCACTGAATCCGGCAATGCCCA